TGTCAAAAAAACAAAAAAAAAAAAACAGAAAATAAAAAATAATAAGATTGTAGGCGTATTATTTCGAATTTGATCATAGTTTATGGTAAATATCGATCCGTTAGATGGGTACCTACAATATGACTAATTATTTTTCATGAATAATCATACTTCGCTATCTGGATTAAAGGTTTTATCGTAATATAAATTATTGGACTATTTAAAATAAATAATAGTTGACACCCGTTTAGGGTTTTTGACAATTTGAAGGCACTTTGATTGTTTATAGCTACATTTTTTGCTAACTTTTTATTGCACCATTATTTATTTTTGGGTTCGAGTATTAGGGTGTCCATCTACATTAAAAATTTGGAACATACCTTATCAATTTTTCTTTTTAAAAAATTGATTGGGTTGCAATAATTCCGTTCAAAAAATACACTCCAATAATGAATAATCAAAATATCACACTGCTACACCACACTAGAGCCGTATGGCGAATGGCTTCTTTATTTTAGTAAAATATTTAATAAAATGTACAAAGCTTAAGGTGTAAGGAAAAACTGACACGTAGGCGGCGAACGTGGTCTCAGTTCCCATCGACGGCTAAAAATGCTTCCACGGTGGCAGATCTAGATTTTCAGCTGTCGGATGAGATGTGGAATGGACGGCAGATATCGATTCACGGGACAAAAGGGATCGCAATTGAGTTTTTCCACGAGGCCTTTCTTTTAGGTGGGGTGTGAAAATAGATGATGAGATTAAGCTAACAAAAAAACAAAAAAAGATAATCACATAAAAATAGGAGAATGGAAAAGGATTATTCATTTATAGTGGCACAGATAGAGAGATAGCAGGAGATAGAGAGTTTAGAGAGAGAAATCGTAGGTGGGAGATAAGCTGAAAGGGAGAAAATTGGGGGAGGAGAGAGCAAGAGGAGAGAGATATGTGAAAAAATCTCAAACAAAGATCTCTCGTTTTTTTTATCCGGTGAATCTCGATTTTATCCCCGGTTGTTTTCCGGCGAGCTATGCTCGTGTGACCTACCTTTGATGAGATATCGGATTGAATTTCTGCATCTGTGTGGTGAAGCTCGAGTCCCGATTGTGAAGGTGAGTAATGGACAGGAACAGAGAATCAAGGAGAGCGAGTATCGTCGGCTCCAATGGTTTCAATAGAAGGAGGCACAGGACAAACATCGTTAGAGACTCTCAAGGTTGATCAACATGAAAATTTCATTTCAACAGATCTGAATCATTTTTTTTTTTATTTTTTTTTTGCTTCGTTTGAAGACTGAATCATTTTTCAGTGGATATTTGGTAAAGATTGAGCTTTGCTATTTTGGTTACAATTTTTGTTTTTGTTTGTTTTGGTTATTTTGCAGATGAAGACGGGGGACTGGAATTGCAGGAATCTGTGAGGTTAAGGGAGAGAGTGAAGAAATATCGAGATCGAGAGAGGGAGAGAGAAAGAGATAGAGAAAGAGACAGGGAAAGGGAGAGAGATTTGAGAGAGCGGTCCAGTCGGAGTAAGAGAAGGAGAGCCGAGAGACTGGCGAGCCACAAAGACGATACCGGCGGCGATGATACTTCCGACGAGAGCCTCAACGACGACGAGGACGACGAATACGAAGAGAAAGTCACCTCCACCGTCAAGATGTTGTCGCCGACAGTAGGTTCCGTTTCCAACCACCACGTTCATGTCGGCAACCACCACCACCACCACCACAGCAGTAGCTTTAGTCAACAACAGCACAACTGTAACAGTAGTAGCAATATTCTAATTAACAGTAGCCACCATCTTCAACACAGGAAGACCTTCCCTCCTATCTCTTCGTCTTCTTCTTCAGCCAAGGTTCCCAGAGCACCGCCTGTTTGGAAATCCGGCGACGAGATGATCAGTGTCTCCGTTCCCAGAAAAGCTCGTTCTGGTGATTTTCTTAATCTCCAAACAATCGCTTGTTCTTTGTTATTTTTCAAGATTTTTTCTAATTCCTTCATATTTTGTTTTTGGTTTTTCTGTAGCTTGTACAAAGAGGTCGCACGATTGGATTTCAAGTACCAGCAATAACAATAGCAGCGGCGGAGTTTCCGGAGGGGCAGATCAAAATCCGGCCCAGCCGTCGAGCTCTCCGGCGAGACCAACTCACGTGTCGGCATCCACCGCTGCGGATCCGCCGTCTCCATCTTCTTCAAATGCTTCCAATAGAAAGAAGCTTGTTAGTGATTCAACAGCTCTTAAAATAATTTCCAAAAACATCAAATCTTATATTCCTGATTGACTTTTTTTTTGTTTTTTATGTTTTTACTTATTCTGCCCAGAAACACACCGCTAACAACACCGCCGGCCCTAAACCCAAGCCGCCGAAAGTCTCAGCATTATCATCGAAGCCGAGCTCTTCTAATCCGGAGGAGCTTGAGATCGAGATTGCCGAGGTTTTATACGGCTTGATGACCCAGTCACAAGGCCCATCTTCATCAATTAAAGAGGAACCAAGAGAAGTGAATCAGTTGAGTATCGATGCAAAGTCGCGAAATTCATCTCCGATCTCTAATTCTACTTCGATTAATAATAATAACAATATGAATAATCTCCATCCTGGACCCAATTCCGGCTCCCTTTCAGCCGTCGGTATGTTATTCTGCCTCAGCTTTGTTTATATTTGGTTGAAAACTTTTAAAATGACCATAAAAATAAAAAAAGAAACATTTTTTGATATATTTTGTATTTGTTTATTTTCAGCCCAGAAGAGGAAGAGGCCGAGACAGGTACCGGAAAGATCAAACTTGGGTGCACGGACAAAACCAGAAACAGATGAGACATCAGAGAACAAAATATTATATCCTAATATGGAGAAAATGTCGGGATCTGCAGGTGAGACTGCGTCTGAAGCGGTGGGGATTAATCCGGTCATTTCACAAGACTCAACGAAGTCGGATTTGGAGCTGAAGCCATCGGCTGAGGAATTTAGAGAAAACAGATATTGGGTTGTTGGGAAAGAAGATGTTAGCTCATCGAAGGAGCAGGAATCTCCTGCTGTGATAGCTCAGGATACCAGCAATAGGGACTCGCCATCGGTAGCCACAGCCTCATCTGTTGTGGATACACCTATTAATGGGTATAAGTGAAAAGATTGATGATTTTCACTTTTCATTGAGTCAAAATCTGTTTTTTCTTTTTCTTTTTTTTTTCTTTTTTTTTTTGGGAACCTATATTTATTTTGATTGTTAGTGACATAATCTGTGTATTTTGGCCTCGTTGGAAATTTTAGGAGTTTGCCTGGTGTAGGAGTTGATAAAGAAGATAAGTTTGAGATAGATCTGATGGTGAGTATATCTAACATTTTATTTTCTTTCTTTCTTTAGTTTTTTGGCAGCTTAAACAAACTTTTTTTTTTTGCTGAAATATAAATTTTAAATCGGCTCGTCTTGATTCTGCATTTCAGGCACCCCCACCCCAAGCAAGATCATCACCAGAAACGGAAACCAATATTGATTTGAGTGCTTCAGCCTTTGCTGATCGGAAGCCCCTTCCATTGAATCTTGATAGAGTATGTACATCTTTGAATATATTATTATTATTATTATTATTATTATTATTATTATTATTATTATTATTATTATTATTTTCTTTTTTTTTAGCCTCCAAGTTTGATTGTGTTTATACTGAGCTGATTGGTACTTGTACTTGTGCAGGATATGAATCATGTAATGGTATCCAAAGATAATGAGAATGATAAAGCTAAAAGTGAAAGTGGGAGTTTACATTTATTGAATGTGGCAGCTGAAGAAAAGAAATCCGAGGAGAGTGAATCTAACAAGGGGCGTGATATCGATTTACACCTTCATTTGGATAAACCGGAAAAAGATGTGAGCTCTAGCCATAACGCCAAGGACAACAAATCCCAAATGCAGATACAGAAGCAAGCACAGCCGCAAGTACCTTTTAAGGCCGCCGGCAAAGAAGAGCCTCCCTCTGAGAAACGTGGTAAGTATTTTTGTATTTTCTTTTCAGCCGAAATTTTCATTTTTCCCCTAATGGCTGTCTTTGGACTGGACAACGTTTTGATTTGTATTTTTACTTTTGGTTAGGTCATTCAACAAGCTCACTGCCTTTACCCATGCAAATGGCTAGTTGGCCTGGTGGGCTTCCTCCTATGGGGTATGGTCGGTTAAGTTATTGCCTCATTATTAACTTTTTATTTTTTTGGGGAAATAAAGGGGCAAGATCTATTTTTTAAAGGTCTTGTTTTTCGGAAAATAAGGTAAAAATTTTATTGTCAACAGATATATGGCCCCATTGCCAGGAGTGGTCTCTATGGATGGAAGTAGTGTGGCACCAGCTCATTTACAGGTAATCAAAATAATTTTTCATCATTTTTGTTAATATATATATTTTTCTTCGTTTTTATTGTCTGAAATTCTAGTTTTCTGCCATTCTTTTTTTTCCCTTTCGTTAGCCGCTTTTTTCTCAACCACGGCCAAAACGTTGTGCCACACATTGCCACATTGCCCGGAACATACACTGCCTCCAACAGTTTATGAAGATGAACCCTTTCTGGCCGGCTCCTACAGTGTCGCCCGCTTCTTTATTCGGGTCGAAACCTTGCAATCTTAATGTGGGTCCTCCGCCAGTGGACTTGAGCATTGCAGCCAGAGGTGTTAGTAGTTTGCAGGATAAGGGGCCAGGCCTTGCTAGTGCTTCCAATAATGTTGGTAAGGATAAAAGTTCTCAACCTGCTAATAGTTCTGATTCTGCGCAGAAAAAGCAGCAGACTTTGTTCCAGCAAACATTGCCCCCTGTGGCACCTAGCAATTTACTGGTAAGGCCCTGGCTTCACTCATTCTCATCCCTGTATTCTTTTTCTTTTATTTTATTTATTTATTTATTTATTTTTCTCTAGGGTGGGTTAGGGTTGTTTTTTTGATGTTTACTATGTGGATTANTCGACTAAACTGCCTTATGCTTTTCTGCTTGTATTATTATACTAAAAAATGGAGGCTTATAAAATTTCTCATTTTTGTTTCCTTCTTTGCAACTAATCTCCTGATTAGCAAAAATCATTTCAAAAACTTCTGGACTATTTTATAAATAACTGAAGCATCATTTTTTTTGTTTCTTCATAATTATTACCCACTCATGTAATTACCCGTACTTGATACTTGGTCAGTATTTTTCTCAGTCATCCTTTTCTTTCTCTCTCTATTAAACAGGGCCCAACTTTCATTTTCCCTGTGAATCAGCAGCAAGCAGCCACCGTGGGAAAATCCGTGTCGACTATGTCAGCCTCCAACATGGTCACCACCTCATCTTCTGCACCAGCAACAGCCATGAGCTTCAGCTACCCAAACATGTCCCCAACCGAGACCACTCAATACTTGGCAATTCTACAGAACAATACCTTCCCTCCATTCCCCATCCCCACTGTCGGCCCCCCACCCAACTACAGAGGAGCAGCCCCTACGCAACCCATGCCTCTATTCAATGGCCCCTTCTACTCGTCCCAGGTGCAGCTGCCACCCAATCAGCCTCAGGTCCACCATAATGCGTCTGCACCCAATAATTCCTCTTCAGGGAAGCATATGCATATGCAGCAGAGGCCACCACCACAGAGTGGCCTGCAGCAGAACAGTTCTTCCTCACACAAGTCACATCCGTCCCACAATAATTTAGCGTTGCCCATTCAGCCCCAGAATTTTGCTTTGGGTGCCGCCGGAAGTAATCATCAAAACGAGAAAAAATCCCATCAGCAATCGCAACACCAGCAGCAGCAGCAGATATTGAAGTCTGGAGTCGAGACTCTTCCGCCTCATACGTTTGCTATGTCGTTCGGGCCCATCAATGGGCAACAAAACCAGGCTATGTTTCAGACATTTTCAGACGCTGCTCGGCAAAGTGTCCAAATGATGCCTGTTGATGCCCAGACTACACAGAAGCTCATCCGTATTTCCGAGGAGGGTAAAACCGGAAATGTCGACTTGCACAAGGAGGATGAGAGAAAAAGCTTTGCCTTTTCGAGATCCACGGACGTGGCCAATGGGCCTGCTGCTGCTGCTGCTACCTCATCTTCAGTTCTTGGCAACACTGTGATTGATAGCCCGTCTGCCGTTAATCGGGCCAAGGTGCCCAACGCTCAAGTCCAAGCTCAGCTTCATCAGCACCAAATGCAGCAGCTTAAACAGCAGCAGCAGCAAATGGCGGCCGCGAGTGCCGTTAATCGGGCCAAGGTGCCCGTGGCCAACAATGGGACCATATACTCTGAGCATTTGACTTCGTCTGCAATGACGGGCCCGAAGTTTCAAAACACCAACTCCCTGTTCTCACAGAACCTCATCCAGAGTAACAGCCCTGGCACGAGTCCTCAGTCTCCCCAATGGAAAAACTCGGCAAGAACTCAAGTCTCTCAAGCCCAAGGCCCGTCGTCCTTAGGGCCTTCGGTTGTGTCCATGCACAAGAATATCAGCCAGCAACATTCTCGAACCCAACAGCCCATGCACACACAAATATCCTTTGGAGGTAATCAAAAGCAATCATTATCCTCTCAAGGGCAACAACAACAACAAGTAGCACCTTCAAGTGGCAACCAGGTTGCGTCGCCCACGACCTCCTCCATTTCCAAAGGTGCGATGAGCGGGAGCCCGAGGACAAATTCATCTGCCTCAACAAACAATAAAACAGGCCAAGGTTCATCCTTTTCGACCCAACAAGCCAAAAATTCACCGTCCATGCCTACCCAGAAGTCGCCTTCACTTCTCGGAAATCCTCATGCAGCAAAAAACCAATTGCAACAGCAGCAGTCGCAGCCCAAACCCATGCAGCAGGCCCAGTTATTCTTCTCAAGCCCGTATTCCCAATCCCAGCCCCATCATTCGATTGGCTCGGCAAATACAGCTGTCGCTGGCCCGAGTGGTTACTACATGACGCAAAGACGGCCCAATGACCCCACGACAGCAATTGCTGCGGCTACTTGTAATGCAAAAGGTGGGGGTTTTCAGTCTCAGTCTCAAGGAATGATGCATGTGTCTCATTTTGGTTCCCAATCGAGCGGGATGATGTTGCCAGCTGGATTCTCGTACATACATCCTGTCCCAGCTGGTGTACAGGTGAAGCCTGCTGAGCAAAAGCAGCCTGCCGGTTAGTATTTTT